TATTTATCATATCTTCTTGGTTCTCAAAATATACTATTGCGCTACTCATATTATTATTGTTAGCATTTTGGAATATATGTAATGCCTTGGTTCTAGATTTCTTGACTTGTCTCTAGAGTAGTACCTCATTCGTATTCTCAGGTAGATCTAAGAGTCTTTTGCTAAATCTGTTTCTTAAGTGTAATAGTTCAAAGTTGTTAGTACCAGCTATTACCCTTACTAAAATCCAATTTGCAAAAGGCAAATACCAAATCTTATTCTTTTTCTTTTCATCAAGAGTGCCTGCTTTAAACACAATTTCTGCTCGTGTTTTATCATATACACTTTTGATCATCTCTATATGTTCTACTCTTTCTATAAACTGAACTATCTTAAAAACTTGAGTTCTTTTTGCCTAATTTGATAAGTTCCAAACTGTTATCTTGTTTTCTTCTCTGTTCTCATTTAGGTTAATCAAATCTTGTTGGATTTCAACATTTTCCTTACTTGTACCTTCTTGTTTATCTGAAATAATTGCAGTCTTCTTTTTCCTTCTTGTTAGAATTTCTTCTAACTCTAATTTTGCCTGTTCTTCTCTTTTTTTTTTAATATCTAAGGTAGTAATCTCTATATCTTAGGTATCTGAAGATTGAGCAGTTAAATCTTCTTGTATATTATCTTTATGAATTAGTTTAGCTTGCTCATACTCTTTTTTTTTGTTTTCTAAATTTTCTTAGCTTTCTTATAGCTTTTCTCGTAGTCGAAAATTAATGTATACCACAAGTTACCTCACTCAAATTTTTCTAATATTTTTTTGAGGTGAACATTTCTACCTATTGACTACCTTAAGGACTTTTTTCTATAGCTTGAACTATTTCTGAGTACTTTTATAGCTACTACCTTAGCCTTTATGATCTTTTCTCCTTCATATCTATCTTTATTTGGTGCCTAGATACTTTTTTCAAGAGAAGAGTCAGACTTCACTAGTATCAAATCCTCTTCTGATTCTTCTATGATATTCAAATAGAGGTTTGGATTTGGTTTAAAAATTTCTTCATTTTGGATTTCTTTAATATCTTCCATTAAGGTATAGCCCTTTTTACTTCTTCTATTCACTAGGAGTTGCTTCTCTGATATGTTTTGTTCTTCTTCTATGCTATCTACTATTTTTAGAGAACTTGTTAGGTTTGTCATTTCTATATCTGATTTGCTCTCACTCTCTTGTACTATTAGTTCTTCTCTTTTTACTATTATATTCTGAGTTATTTGCCCTAGTACTACTTTAACTCTATTAATTCCTTCAGTCATTACTGCTCTCTCTATTACTTTCTTCCATTCTCTTACTACTGTTACTATGTTATTTTTTACTTCTAAAATCTCTGCAATTATTTTATCTATATGATCTTCTAGACCCATAACTGCATCACTTCCTTCTGCTATTATTTCTTTGCTATATTCTTTTGTTACTACTTCAACTAATCTTGTTGCTTTTGCTCTGTTCCACATACTTTTAAATTCTTTTTTCCTTCATTTAGTTCACTAAATATTATTTCTAGAAGTGACTTAGTCTTTTTTTAAACTTTCCTAAGAGTTTATCCAAATTGCCTATGAACTGTTTGGTTTTGGTCTTATATAATTCGTCTATGCTACTTGATATATGATACATAAATTAGTAATATATTTGTTTACTTATTTTGTACATTTTTGTGTTATATGTACTGATCTGCAATTCAGTATATTTTGCAATTCCTAATTTTTTCAACAAAAAATTTCTTTGTAGCAAAATTTTGTCTAAAAATCTTCTGAGTCTCTTCTTGTGTTATAATTTTTCTATTTTCTTTCTTTTCTATATGTAATTCTCTTTTTAGAGTCTTTCTTTTTAATGTGCTAGGAGGTATTATTTAGTGAGTTTAGTGTTTTTTCTATGTGAAAAACCTTTAGCTCAAATTTGTGACCAAATGATCTACAAGAAGAGTAACTGAAAGAGCAAAGATTAAAAGATAAGGTATTACTATTTCAATTTGTTGTTATTCCTATGATATTATTACAAAATCAAATAGGAGTAAACTATCCTTTAAATTGTATTACAGCCAAATTTGCTTGCAACTTTTAAAAATAATTTTTAATATTAGATAAAAATTTTAAATATTGATTTTAACAATATATTTACTAATTAAAAAATAATTTTAAATATCTATTTTATCAACTTTATTAAGAAACTTTTTTAAATTTATTAGAAATCTTTTGTGTAATAAAGCTTTAAAGTTTAACTTTAAAAATTTTTACTATAAAATTTTTTCTTATAAAATTTATAAATTTTATATGTTCTCAAAGCTAAAAAAATTTTTCACTTCTAATACAAGTTCAAATTTTTTCAATTAAATCATAAAAGTTGTAATAATAAAAGTTGTAATTCTTTAAAAGTTCTATTAAATTGCTTTAAGTATTATATTTCTAAAACTTAAATTAAAGAAGTTCATCTAAAAATATTAATCAAATTTTTGAGTAAAAAATTTTCTTAAAATTGTTTATTTTTAGCTTATAAATAATATAAACTTTTTGTCTTATAATATAAAAATAAATACTACAAAAACATAATCCTTATTTTCCAATATTTATATATAAAATTTTACTTTGATATTTTAAATCTTTAAAAATTTAAATCATTACTATATTTAGACAATTATGCAGACAAATTTGTCTGCATCCCTCTACAATATAAGGAATAAATACTACTTTTTTTATTATTTTTTCTATTTTGTAGATTTTCAAGAGTTTCTTAGTAAGAAATAAGTTTTCTTTACATTTTTTTTTGTTTTGGTATTCATTATTATACTAGTCTTTATTAGAGTTAGTATCTAAAATAATTTTATACTTTGTTAGACTAGAATTAACTATTTTTTTTACTTGTTGTATTGCTGATATTTTTGATATTAGCAAATACTTGTTAAAAGGTAAAAGTTTTGTTTTTGTAGTCTTTCTTTTCTTTTTGTCTATTATATTGTCTCTATATATATTGAGTAGTATTATTAAGATTTATTTAGTTAGTTATATTTTTTTGTAATATCTCTTTTCTGTTTTACTTAAATTTTTTATTATTTTTTTTTTATTTGTTGTTTTTAAGATTTATAGAAAAGAGTTTTTTTAAATTTATTAATTTTGTTGATTTATGTATAAAATCTGTACTATTAAATTTTACTATTATACCTTATATAGATTTGATTAATTAGTATATCAGTAGCTTCTGTTATATCTGATCTTTAAAACAAATATAATATTATATCTGAATGTCTGATTAGATAAATTACTAGATACAATATATTTGATATAGCTATATTGCAAAATACAATATCTAATTAAATTCTATTTAAAAAATATGATAATATAGTATAAACTTTTTAAAAAAACTATTTGAAAGTTTTTATAATAAAATTTTTTTAAAAATTTGTAAATAGTTATAAGAACTAAGAAATTTTAAATTTACATTATTTTGTAGATAAATATAAACAAAAAAAAAATTTTTTTATTAAAAAAAAGCAATCTTTTTTAACTTTAAGATTAAAATAAAATCTAAAATTTTAGTAAAATTTTAATAAAATTATAATTATATATAAAATTTAACAAGAAATTTTTTTTTATTAAAAATGAAGTTTTGAGATATTAGCATACAAAAAAAGATTTATATGTTACATCTGATCTTAAATTTTGATTGGCTTTTCTAATAAGATAATGTAACATAATGTACAAATACTAATATACAAATAGTAATTCTCTAAGAACTATTAACTAATTTTGTATGATTTAAATACAAAAGCAAAAAAAAGTATCTAAAAATCAATATAAGAATATTATAGATAAAGTAATAAATATTAACTTATTAAGAGATGTGATTCAGAGATATAAATAATACTAGTCGAAAAGATAGATTTTGATCTTTGAAGTTGAATTTCAAATTTTTGATCAAATTCATATCAAATCAGCCAAAAAAAATTAACCTATATTCGACCTATATTATCAGTTTAATATTTAACAAATTAAGCTATATCTAGAAAATAATTCTGAATAATTAAATCGGAATTGTTAATTAATTATAAATATTTACAAATATAAATAACTAATTAATAAATAGATTTATATAGAATTAACATTTCCTAAAAAATATATATATATTATCGTTATTATATCTTATTTTTGTATCACCGTTAATGAAATTACCAATACGTAGTCACATTTTAAGATTAGGTTATTTTAATCAAATCGAATATTCACTCGACAAAATCTGAAGATTTTTTTTTAAAATTGAATTTTGAGAGCCGGAAATGGTCTGTTTTTTAATAACTAATAAGGAACCCGAATTACGTAAAAATACGGTAATTTGAAATAGGTTATACAACATAGTAGTAACACTGCAGTGGGTGGCGGTGATGTCATATCACCGCCACTGCAGCAATTCTGATTAGAGATGGGCAAAGTAATTTACTTATTACGTAAACGTTAAATATTATGCGACAATTCAGTATGTTATTATTTGTGAGTATATATTATTAGCGTTAGCGTTAGTGAATTGCGCGTAATGTGATTGAACTTTTACGTAATAAGTAAATTACCTTGCCCATCTCTAATTCTGATACCAATAAACGATAAGTCCATTTGTCCAATTATGACCTGGTCCAATTACAAAGAAGATTTTGATTACGTAACCTACAATTTGAGGCCGAGTCGTAAACACCTACGATAACTGGTGATGTCGTATATAAAATATGATAATTAGACTAAAGCTTTGACTTATAGAATCCCATTGAATATATGAACATACAGTATATACCCAAAAATAGCGAAATGAAATAGTTAAAATTATCAAATATTTATTACGAACTACTCAATAAATATATGGGCTCATTCATAAGGAATGAACATATCCAATACATATTATAAATAATTATGTTATTAAATTACCGTGATTGTGAATAATTCTGATAATACATGTATGGATGACTTCATATAAATTAATATGAAACTAACTAAATTCTGCCACTTGTAACTAATTTTGTAGCAAGTGCGGCTAATATAGCGGCCTTGTGATTACCAGATAATTTTGAATAAGCATCGTATACAGACACACCTATGGAACCAATAATATGTTCCAAACGAGAATCCAAAGTTTGAAATTAATTCCAGATTATAAGAAAAAAATAAAATAAAATAAAAATGACGATATACCTTTAGCATCTCTGACTGCACCCAGTTTATTTCCGGCGTACGCACCCAAAACCAGTCCAGGAACATTACCACAAATAAAACCTAACGCTCCACCAGTAACCGCACCAATCGGTGCATAAAACCATTGCGGATTATCCACTTCTGGTCTCAACAATTCTTCAAATACATTACTGAAGATCAAGTTTGCGTCTGCTCGATCGACCTGCCATGTCGATGCAGATTTACCTTGCCTCTTTCGGGAGGCCCTTGCTCGATCTATAAAGCCATCAATTACTAATGAATTCATAAAAAAGTCTTATTTATTAAACCAGTACCATATTGTTCCCTCCTGGTTTCATCACTAAGAACATAGTAAGCATCAGCGATTTTCTGAAAAAGAGCCTTGGCATCTTCTTGTGATAATGAAGGATTTATTGCTGAATCATTGGTGCCCGGAATAAATCTGTCTGGGTGAGTTTCCAATGCTTTCTTTTTATACGCATCACGAATTTCTCTTAAAATAAAATTTAGTTTCGTTAAAAAAACAACCAATTTCTATTAGTTAGAAAAAGTGTTTCTTACTCGGCTGTGGCAGTTTCAGGGATTTGGAGAATTTCATAATAATCGATGAAAGAATCCGAGTTCATTATGAATTTTTAGGGTTAAAAACAAGCAAACCGCCATACAAATAAGTTTTTCATTTTAATCACGTGAATATCCTATTGTTTGGAAGATCGTTACACAATTGATACAAAAATTTTTTATACGGTTTTACAATACTTTTTAGGAAGCTCGCGTAACTTATCTCTGCTATGAAACGTGGTTAAGTCTACTAAGCAAACTTGAAGCTTTCGTAGCATATTTTAATAATATCAATTGAAACTATTTGAATCCAACAACTTTATATTAAAGATTTACTAAATGAAAATATATCAGAAGAGAAGCAATATATAAAATATATTACTATTAGGTTGTCAAAATTTAGTTCGTTGAGCAAAAAAAATTATGAATAAACTACAAATAACGGTTTTATAAAGTAAGGTAAGTAGTAAACTTTGGAATATAAGTTTTTTTATATTTTGTTTATTTATTAAAGATTTTTTAAATAAAATAGTTAAAAAAAGATAGTTTAATAATTATAATCTTTTATATATCTTATATTCTATATTAGTTTTTTTTTTTTAATTTTTTTTTTTTTTTTTTTTTTATAACTTAGGTGATCTTGCTCTTCATTTATTAAGAAAAAATATAATAAAATATTATTACAGTAATATAATCTAATTTAATCTAGTTATCAAACTGCTTTCTTTGTTTAATTTTAAATTCATTTAGCTATCTTAGGTATCTAAGTGTGATTTGTTGCAAAAGTAGATTTTCTTTCTAAAAGAGTAGTTTGCCTAAGCAAATATCTATTCTAATACAGAAGGCTCTTTTGCATCTGCATCAAGATTCTTTAGTTATTTTTGAAGCTTAGTCAGTTTCTTTTAGTCTTCTTTTAATCTATTATCAGAAAATCAATTTTAGTGTTGTTCTGCATAGATCTGCAAAAAATTAAATAATAAATTTAATAAAAATCTGTGTAAATCTTTGGGTTTGTTACTGACAGATGCAGAAATTAAATGCAATTCTGCACAAATCTGTAAATTTCCAAAATTTTGCAGATTTTTATCAAAA